TCCATCCAATGTTCCGTAAACCTTACTGTTTCTGAATAGTTGGCCAAAGACTGGCAAATATCTAAAATGCAATCATTTCAATCCAAGTATGTTGGCAAGATCTTCTGAAGGCATAAATTTTGCTGCTGAAGCATTGCCAAAGATATTGCAATATTCACCCACTCTCTGCACAGTGGCTAATATCATAAAATTTCATTAGGTATGAAATTTTGTGGCTCTAATTTCATATAATTTCATTAGGTATGAAATTTTGCGGCTCTAATTTCATAATTTTTTGTTTGGTTGAAAAAATTGCAGTTTGCACATAGCACATACTACCAGACTACCAGTATGCCATTTCATAATATTTTTCAACTTCCACAGTATGTATAGGTACTTCAATGCTCCTGCCTCTGAACAAAATAACATGCAGAATGTAATAACAACAAGTCAACTCAAAGGCCAAAACATTGACTAACCTAGTTGCAGTCACGCCAGAGCAGTCAGACTGCATTATCACTTGTTCAGTTGCCGCTTAAGTGAAGACAAATATTAGTGACTGTTTTTATGATAAAATTGGAGATGTGGGGGTAACATGTGCATGGGAGTTGATGAAACTTTGTAAATAATGAGTTTGCATCTTGTAAATGGCTTTTCATGGCTGAGATATATAATTCACGGCTCAAAGAAATGGAACACGGCTGGCAAACCTGTAAAATCGCGGCTTGAAAAATCCAGATGCTGCTTGCCAAGTAGATATATTCCATGCCTGAATGGGCATAATAAGCATTAGCAAAGGAGAACATTTTTTGTTGTCTTTCCTCAAGTTCATTTTTTTAGGTCCTGTTAGTTGAGTAGATGGTAGGTGAATTGGGATAGTTGTGCCACATTTCGTACAAATGTTGTAGCAGCTAAACTAATCAAAATATTGCAAAACTAAAAATTGTGGCATAAAGTTCAACATTTTTACTTCTTATGTAGCATAAAGCAAGTTAAGATTTTAAGAAATCATACATTTACTACCTTTAAAGAATTACCAATAAAAGTGTGAAAAGTGTGATTTTGGAATACCGTCAAACGGGGCTACTCGGGACAGTTTTGAGTGTTTTTTTTTTTTTGTTAATAACTGTTAATAACTTCTTAGGATGAAACATTCCATAAACAAGTTTAGGCTCATTTTATAGCTCTTTGCGAGGGCTATTGAATGGCATGGTCAAAAAAATTCCATATGCTATTCGTAAGGTGCCAGCAGCAAAAAAAAGTGTATAAAAAAGTATCGAACGGGGCTACTCGGGACACATGGAATGAACTTCATTTTAAAATATTTGAAGAATGCAGAGTGTACTCATCCATTACTAACAGTACTCTGAAGTCCTCCTCTTTTATTGTAGATGATGTAGAGGTAGAATAAATGACATTTTCTGTGATTTTTACTGGTTTTTCCTATATTGATATGATATTACCATAAACATTAATTACCGTCAACTGGGGAGACTTCCCTGCGTTTTTTATTTTGTTTTGCAAACAAAAACGGGGTCGTAAATGCCGGGGTCATAAACGCCAGGGTTGTAAACAAGGTCATAAATGCCAGAGTGACTTTGGCCATCATTTATGACCCCGCTTTGGCCATCATTATGAACAAGGCTGAATCCCCCAGTTGACAGTTGACGGTATGTACCTTATTATTGATGGGATGTTACTGTATTATTGATGGGATATTACCATATCCATGAACATGCCATTGAGCATTTACAACAACCTTGTTCACTGCAAGCTTCATATCAGCAGCCTTATAGCATTTTTTCTGTATCTGTAAGCTTACAGGACGGCTTGTAATTTGTGTGACAATAAGTGAACTTTTTTTCGCTCAGCGAGGTAAATGTATTCAATATTCTTTGTTTTCAATCAATTTTTTTCTTAACTGGAGCCTTTGCTAACTGAGGTTCTACTGTAAATGTGCTTTCGGGGGTGTCCCGAATAGCCCCGGGGGGGTGTCTCGAGTAGCCCCGCCGTGCGGAAATGGCCGTCATTTTTTTTTTTTAATGAGATAGGACAATTCCGTCAATTACGTTTTCAAGCCGACACCTGGGTGCATCTTTTATGTAAGTAAAATTTTTTAATACGGCAAATATTTTTTTTTGCTCCAGACCTTAGCAGAAGTAACTTTTCAAGATAGCGTTTTTCACCATTTTTTTCAGGAATTTTTCAAAGCTAGTAAATGTAGTATTTTTCAACTTCCTTTATACTACATAGATAGGAAAAATGTTGACGTTTACGCCACTATATTTAGTTTTGCTACTATAACAGTTTTACGCCGTGTCAGAGGACTGTCCCGAGTAGCCCTGCCCGTCCCAAGTAGCCCCGTTTGATGGTAGTACCTCTGGCCTCTGCTAAGGTCTATAGCAAAAAAAAAAAAAGCCATGTTAAAAAATTTTACACACATAAAAGTTGCACACAGGTGTTGGCTTGAAAACATAATTGACAGAATTTTCATATCTCATCCCTCCAAAAAATGGCAGGCATTCCAACAAGAGGGGGTAATAAGGGGTAATGCGCCCTAAAAGCGCATTTACAGTAGAACCTTGATTAGCAAAGGCTCTAGTTAACGAAAAAATCAATTTACACCAAAAAATTCAAGTACACCTTGCTCAAAAAATAAATTTCACCTAATGAAAAATTGCTGCATCATTGGTCATCACAAAATTGTGCATAGAATGTCATAGATAGAATTGTGCACCATGCAACATAGAATGAAAACTATTTAACCTAAACTATGATTTATTTCTCCAAAAGATATGATGGTTATCACTATGATATTCCTTTCTGTTTCAGGTATGTTTTTACAATCTTTTTTTGTTATGGTGAATTCACTCAACCCAGGGGTTCCCTAACTTTTGCAGGCTAGCACCCCCTTGGCTCCCCAGTGAATTCCTAGCGCCCCTCTGCCGTTAAATACAAATGTTTAGTACACAAATAAAGCCCAATTTAGAAAACCAACATATTGTTTAGTAGTTTTAACTGTTTCACCATTAGAAACCCAGGAGTAGTTACTGAAAACCAGTGATTGGTGGAAAAACCCATCTCTGGGAGCCATGTGCTGCACATATTGTGTATAGCTCGTCAAACGTTAAAACTTCTGACTTTGACTTTGGACTACTGCCCCCTACCACCCCTTCTTCCTCACTGCCTCCATGGGGGCGGTACCACCCATTTTGGGTACCTCTGACTTAACCCAATTGAAATGGTGCATAATTGCAAGCCCAGACCTGTAAGTTCACAGATGTAGAAGAAATGCTATATGGTTGCTGATATGACGCTTGCAGTAGAAAAGGTCAATGTCAATGTTCAATGGCCTGTCCATGGATACAGTAAGTATCACATCAATAATACTGTAATTATTGGATATGTTAAAACCATATCAATAAAGTAAAAACATGTACAAATCACAGAAAAATAATTTATTTCACATCTACAAAGGAAGAGGAGGACTTTGGAGTACTGTTAGTATTGTACAAGTATACACTCTGCATGCTTCAAATGTTTTAAAATTAAGTTTTATTTCAAGTTTCCCAAATTACCCCATTCCCAGGGTTAATTTGGGATGCTTTTCTTTTGCATCTGGCACCTTGAAAAAGCATGTGGAATTTTTTCAGTGATGCCACACATTAGCTCTTGCAACAACCTTTAAAATGAGCCAAAATTTGTTTATGAAATGTTTATTAAGGGGAGCGTCTGGGTCAAAAACTAACTTTTTCATTTACGGACGGATTTCTTTGAAACTTGGTAAACATATGTAAAACAAAAAATCTAAGACTTTTTTGTTCGTGTCAATTTTCCAAAAAAATTGATAGAAAACATGAAATTCATAGAAAACGGCAAAAAAGGGGGTCCTCAGGAAATCTATCTCCTCCTAGGATTTTCAAGCTACAACATTGAAAGACATATCATTCGATGCGCAAAGACCATATCTATAAAATTGTGTATACGTTTTTCAAAATTCAAATTTTTGTGGATGTGGGGTCATTTTTCGTAAAATTTTTTATTTTTCCCCCCTTCCCCCCCCTCCCTTTTTGCCAAATATTTCTCAAACTATAACGAAATAACAAAAATCCATACGCAATTCTGTAGATCTCTCCTTTGCAAATCGAATGGTATATCTCTCAATGCTGTAGCTTGAAAACTGTAGGAGGAGATAGGTTTTCCGTGACAATTAAAGAACTCCCCCACCCGCCCCCCTTTCATGAAATGTCGTGAAATCATAAATCAACGTAGAGAGATGGCAGTGGTACCGTTGGATAGGGCAGAATGTCAGCTTTAAGGTGAGACTAAAAACCGGAAAAGCCAAAATTGTCAATTTTGGACCCAGATGCTCCCCTTAAGAAGTTATTAACACGAAATGCTCAAAATTGTCCCTTATTACTCCGTTTGATGGTATGGAAATTTACTATAATCTGAGAAAAATATTTGTTAACCTGTGGAACAAAATATTTGTAACACAATATTTATTGTAGAAACCTTTCCAAAAATATTTGTATTTGTGGAAAAAAGTCCAATTCAAAATGTGGTTTTGAATACTCAAACAAAAAGTTGGGTTAAATGGCAATAGCTTACGCATGAGTCATGTTCTTAAATTCAATAAATACAGTCTGGTTTTTATGTCAAGTACGTATGGAACATATCTGAGATTAGTGTTTGGGAGTGTTGCTTGCTAATAGGAATATAGGTACTCATTCTCAGGAGATGGTATACCTACACTTCACCTGCATGATGGTCCATCCCACATCACAACTCCCTTCAATGTAACTTTTTATATAAATTCCCTAAGTGTTCACGTTGAAATGCTAGTGCATGCTACTGCAAATTGACCATGCTATGGCTGTCACTGAGGTTTTTATCAAGTTATTTATTTGCAAATGAGTTCTAATTGCCTTGCATTTATATATTCTGGCCAAGCTGACAAAAATTTCTCTGCAATCTCTGTTCTCTCTTATTACTATAAATATAATAATATTTCTCCATCGTTTTGCAGAGTTGAAACTCTTCTTTTGCACAGTGACAGTAACTTACTGCTGCTCTAGCTTAAACTCTCCCAAACTAATTACCATATTTAACTTCATTTTAGTCCCATTTGGTTCATGAATCTGAGTCTTGATTTGTGATTTGTTGTAGCTTTGCAGTTTCACTTTTCTGTGAGAAATTACGTAGCTTTGCCATGCAAGTGACTCAGTTCGTCCAATCATCATGTCCATGATAGCTGGGCATAGGCACAGCAGCTCACATGCTGCTAGAAAAAAAGTCCAGGTAAGCTTAAGGATTTGTAAGCACTTGAGAGCAAAATAATTTATTCTCTTATAGTGTACCCTGATGTAGGTACCGGTACCATATAAACTGTTGATGATAATGTGAGATGTAAATTTTTTCAATAATGATATTTGACATCTTAAATTATTTGGGGTGCATATTGGTTAGAGTTATTTTTCACTTCAAAACAAATTTGCTGCTAGAGTGTAGCACTGCCCAAATCAACTTGTGTTATTATAGAAACAATTTTGAATTTTCCATTGAATATTGTAACAAGAAATTAATCAGTTGTGCTTTCTTGAATTCTAGCTCATGTCCTAGTTTTTTTACTCCAAATAATTCTAAATTTTTTGTTATAACCTGTCTTATGTATAGCCTGCATGATCCTGTAATATAGAATCTATTGTGAGATTTCCTTTTGACCATGACCTTTTGCTGTGCAGATTTCCTTTGTTATCCGAGACAAAGTAGAAGTGTGCCACCGCTCAGCAGTGAATGCACTTCAGTATGACCCAGCTCTGCACAGACTCTTCTCAGCAGGCAGGGACTCTATCATACGAATCTGGAACTGCAATGCTCGTCGTGATCCTTTTATGCAGTCCATGGAGCACCACACTGACTGGGTCAATGACGTTGTGCTGTGCTGCAATGGGCGCAACTGTGAGTTGCGGCACTTTTGCCTCTGCTATTTGTGTCAACTTTCTTCTCAGGTCTAAATTTTTTTTTTTTTTTGCTTTGTACCTATATCAAATTTTCATTGAGTGATTTAATTTAACTACCTATGTACCAGTAGGTAAATCTTAGATAACTATGAAATGTAATTAAATCTGATTGAATACTACGGTAGGTACTAAAATATTATAGTAGTGTTCTTGAAACTAATTAACATAATGTGTAATTATCAAAGACAATTTTTAATAGGCTCTGCTCTCACTTCAAGAATACCTTCCCCCAGCTGCTAGTTTGATTTCCTTGGAAATGATTTTTCCTGTGAATTAAAATGTTACCTATTTCTTCTACCAGTGATTTCTGCCAGTTCTGACACGACCGTCAAAGTCTGGAACGCTCACAAAGTGAGTGGCTTGTAGGAGTTTAGTATTGGGCACAAAATACACTACGTAGTATACCAGTGGAATGATACAATTCAAATGTTCCAGTATACAAATAAGTATCATTGTCTTCTTTCAGCTGAAATAATTTGCTGAAGGTAGTAGTGTTCACATTCTTCTTGTTTGTTTATGTAGGTATATAATTTAAAAACCATATTCTGTTTTTTCTCCATTTGTCTTGTTTTGCCTGACTCAATTATCTTGATATATTTTGCATTGTTCCTTAATCTGCGTGGCGCGGCACACATGCCTTGCTATGATTTTCTTAGCACACTAATGCCCTATGGCTCAGTTGTTGACTTGGTAATTCGTTGGGCAGGGCTTCTGTATGTCAACGCTACGTACACACAAGGACTATGTCAAGGCCCTGGCTTATGCTCGGGACAGAGAACAGGTCGCCTCGGCAGGGCTGGACAAGACAATCTTCTTGTGGGACGTGCAGACTCTCACTGCACTCACTGCCTCTAACAATACTGTTACCAGTGAGATACTTCTATGACATACATACACTATAACTTGCATCTTCAATTCCAACCTTGTAGTAGAATCGTGACTGCACAAATGATGCAAATACTGATAAGATTTTTCTTCATTTCATAAATGGAGCTGCCTTGGCAGCTTATACAAATTAAATTCAGGATTTTACATATTATCAGAATACTTTTTTGAACGTCTTTTCCTTTGATTATTGTCTTTTATTTTGAGTTTAAGGTGCGTTCTTGCATGAAGTGAAGTTATAATAGCACTTTCCTTTTATGGTTAAGACATCAAGGTTATTCATGTGCAGCCTCTTCACTGAATGGCAACAAGGACAGCATATACAGCCTCGCCATGAACGCTGCTGGCAGCCTTATTGTCAGTGGGAGCACGGAGAAGCTGCTACGCGTCTGGGACCCTAGAACTGGCAACAAGACCATGAAGCTTAAAGGTGAGGGCTTGCAGTCCCTTTACATCCTTGAACTTTTGACTAAAGATGGACTGCAAATTTGAAATTTAAGAGAATGTCGAGAAAGTTGTAATAGGGTACTTGGCAATTTAAACAGACAAGGTCGGAAATAATTGTCTAGACAAATTTGACACTGTCAATTATATTTGTATCTACACGTCTTGCATTTAGTAGCCGTCAAGCAAACCTGTTATCTACTGACTTCTACGGATATATCACCTAAAGTTAATGTTATTAGCATATAAATAATTGGTAATGAGAGTAATGGTTTGTACACAAAGGCATGACTCTTTGTTTGTCTGGGGATAAATTTCCCGTGGTCACTGCTAACAAACTGAATTAACGAAATATAAATTCTATTTTATTATATTTATTCCTGTTTTATTTATTTTTAATTATCCTAGTCAACTCGTTAAACGATGTCTCTTGCGCGTAGCATCAGAGTAGAAAATGATGAACCCTTCTTCACCCGGCACCCATTGCTCCCTTGTTCCCCCGGCACCCATTGCTCCCTTGTTCCCCCGACACCCATTGCCACCTTTTTCCTCCGGCACCCATTACTCCCTTGTTACCCCGTCACCCATTGCCCCCTTGTTCCCCCGGCACCCATTCCTCCCTTGTTCCCCCGGCGCCCATTGCCTCCTTGTTCCCTCGTCACCCATTGCCCTCTTGTTCACCCGTCACCCATTGCTCCCTTGTTCCCCCGGCACCCATTGCCCCCTTGTTCACCTGTCACCCATAGCTCCCTTGTTCCCCCGTCACCCATCGCTCCCTTGTTCCCCCGTCACACATTACTCCCTTGTTCCCCCGGCACCTATTGCTCCCTTGTTCCCCCGTCACCCATTGCCCCCTTTTTCACCCGTCACCCAGTACTCCCTTGTTCCCCGTCACCCAGTACTCCCTTGTTCCCCGTCACCCATTGCTCTCTTGTTCCCCTGGCACCCATGCTCCCTTGTTCCCCCGGCACCCATGACTCCCTTGTTCACCCGTCACCCATTGCTCCCTTGTTCACTAGTCACCCAGTACTCCCTTGTTCCCCGTCACCCATTGCTCCCTTGTTCCCCCGGCACCCATGACTCCCTTGTTCTCCCCGTCACCCATTGCCCCCTTGTTCCCCCGGCACCCATTCCTCCCTTGTTCCCCCGGCGCCCATTGCCTCCTTGTTCCCTCGTCACCCATTGCCCTCTTGTTCACCCGTCACCCATTGCTCCCTTGTTCCCCCGGCACCCATTGCCCCCTTGTTCACCTGTCACCCATAGCTCCCTTGTTCCCCCGTCACCCATCGCTCCCTTGTTCCCCCGTCACACATTACTCCCTTGTTCCCCCGGCACCTATTGCTCCCTTGTTCCCCCGTCACCCATTGCCCCCTTTTTCACCCGTCACCCAGTACTCCCTTGTTCCCCGTCACCCAGTACTCCCTTGTTCCCCGTCACCCATTGCTCTCTTGTTCCCCTGGCACCCATGCTCCCTTGTTCCCCCGGCACCCATGACTCCCTTGTTCACCCGTCACCCATTGCTCCCTTGTTCACTAGTCACCCAGTACTCCCTTGTTCCCCGTCACCCATTGCTCCCTTGTTCCCCCGGCACCCATGACTCCCTTGTTCTCCCGGCACCCATGACTCCCTTGTTCACCCGGCACCTATTGCTCCCTTGTTCCCCGTCACCCATTGCCCCCTTGTTCCCGCATCACCCATTACTCCCTTGTTCCCCCGTCACCCATTACTCCCTTGTTCCCCCGTCACCCATTGACCCCTTGTTCCTTCGTCACCCATTACTCCCTTGTTCACCCGTCACCCAGTACTCCCTTGTTCCTCCGTCACCCATTGCCTCCTTGTTCACCCGTCACCCATTGCTCCCTTGTTCCCCCGTCACCCATTGCTCCCTTGTTCCCCCGTCACCCAGGGCACACGGACAACGTCAAGACGCTGCTGGTGAACAGGGATGGCACGCAGGTGCTGTCTGGTAGCAGCGATGGCACTGTCAGGCTCTGGAGCATCGGCCAGCAGCGCTGCATCATCTCGCGACGCATGCACTGCGAGGCCGTCTGGGCGCTTCAGGTCCCTCATTCTTCCATTATAGTTTCTTCACAGTGAATAAATGATACGGAGTTATAACGGTTCATCTGGACTTCAATTACGAGAAAGTGCAATATAATATAATATCTTTAATGCCTTAGATTGTCATGCAAATCAATTACCACAACTCTGTCATAGCTTCAATAACAATGCTCATCATCATCAATAAAAATATTTCTCTGCAGGCCAATGAGAATTGGAGTCGTATTTTCTGCGGCGGGCGGGACGGCAGCGTGTGGGTGAACGACTTGAGGTTCCAGGAGAGCGTCAGGCTTGTGTGCAAAGAAGACGCGCCCGTGCTGCGGCTGCTGCTCACTCCCGACACTAGCGAACTTTACGTGGCTACCACCAACTCCCATATCAATTCCTACGTGAGTCATGGTCATCATGTGACAGGCTGGGCGACAATTCCTACGTGAGTTATGGTCATATCGTGACTGGCTGGGCATCAATTCCTACGTGAGTTATGGTCATATCGTGACTGGCTGGGCAACAATTCCTACGTGAGTCGTGGTTATCACGTGACTGGCTGGGCAACAATTCCTACGTGAGTCATGGTCATCTCGTGACTGGCTGGGCAACAATTCCTACGTGAGTCATGGTTATCACGTGACTGGCTGGGCATCAATTCCTACGTGAGTTATGGTCATATCGTGACTGGCTGGGCAACAATTCCTACGTGAGTCGTGGTCATCTCGTGACTGGCTGGGCAACAATTCCTACGTGAGTCATGGTCATCTCGTGACTGGCTGGGCAACAATTCCTACGTGAGTCATGGTCATCTCGTGATTGGTTGGTCATAACCTCCTGCGTGAACAAAAGTGAAATGCATGGTGCGGTTAAGTACCTACCTACCTTGTTTTGGCAATCGTCAAACAAATATTACTTCTCCAAATAATTCTGCGTCAAGTTTTGCAATGTGATAGCAGTAAAATACTTGAACATTTAGAAAGAATTGTTGCGCAAGTTAAAGGATATTCATTGAACATTTTATCTATATTAATACCTTCAAGTAGAATCAAACGTGCAAGTACATACCTATGTAAATTAAGTCTGAAAATTTGCTTTTTCATTGGTTATGTAGGAGCTCCTCATCTGATCTTTTTAATGTACAATTTCAATCATTTTCGTGTTTAATTCGATGAATATGATTACTGAGAGCTTATCATCATAATAGCGAGCAATAGTAATCATTAAACTGAACCATGTATCTGGGCAGAGTTTGGGCAGACGACTGCTGGACCAATGTTTTGACGAGCCCCTAAGGAACCACACCGGGGCTTCTAATAACCTCCATTCGGACTCTCCTGGGCCGGTGTCCCCCAAGGACGTGTCTGGGGCGGCCTCAGCGTCCCTCGACAATGGGGGGCATTCTGCTCAGATGAATGACTGCGTCCTGGGGAACGGCGTTGGGGAGGCGAGCGATGAGGAAGAGCTTCCCTTACTGTCGGGCTGTGACTGGACCATCCCTGGGGGGCCGTCCATCCGACACGCTGTCATCCTCAACGACAAGAGACACGTACTCACCAAAGACACCGACAATAATGTCGCACTTTATGATATTCTCAAGGTATTTGCTTACTTGTTCAGCTCATTAGGTGACCGTGGAACTAGTTGATCGTCGATTTAACTCGACACACTATCCTGTTTAATTTGATTATATGTATTGAAATGTTGAACATTTTTTTCTCGTGGCAAGATCATTTGGTTCCTGTTGAGGCATTAATATTTGAACTGGTTTGCTAATGTTTATTGTATGTTGATGTTGCTATGCATTATTTGTTATATATGCTCATGAAGCCTTTGGTCACAAAACTATTCTGTTTTGAAATTGATTTGCGGTACGTTTGTTCTACGTTCCTCTGACCATTAATTATTCTAATATATTTTCAACTCTTGGTCTGAGTAAACATTTTCTTTCGTTGCAGGCTGTGAAAGTAGAAGATTTAGGTAGAATAGATTTTGATCAGGAGAAGGAGAGAAGAAACCGACCAATTTTCGTGCCAAGCTGGTTCACCGTTGACCTCAAGACCGGCGTGAGTGTTGCGTGCACTGACGCTCTAAACAGGCATTTTTGCAGCTGTCGCCGTCTGAGATACCTATTAATTATTTTAAATTCGCCTTCCGTATTCTGTTCTCTTTGAATTAATTCGTTGATGGCAATAGAAATACATTTTAATCAATCTTCTTGCCAGGCTGAAATCAGTTCTGCATTTTTGTTCATAAAAATGCCGTAGGCACTGTGATGGATTAAAATATGTAACTTGATGGATTAATGTTTTATTTTTATGAATGATTATATCGCTAAAATATTATTAACAAAATTTAATACCCATGACGTCCATCATAATACTGCTTCACATGGGTTACTCCCGCTCTCTGCTCTCCTTTGTTCACTTTGTATTTACAAAGTAAATGTCCAAATATTTTGTAAACAAACTGCCTCCACATTATTATTACAACACTTCTCTTCAACTTCAGTTCTTGTTTGTTTGTCTGCTACAAATCTAATAATCGATATTTCTACCTGTCGATATCGATATGCTACCTTCTACCTGTCCAACCGATCTGAAATTTTGCAAACTTGTGTAAAGTCATAGACAATGCATGAATAAATTGACAGAATAAATAATTTTAACTTTTTTCATATTTCAAAAAAATGTGACAACTTTTTCTTTAATATATACAAATAAAATAAGAAATTCATTGTACATGTGTAACGTCGGAGACACTGGCCACTTTGGAAGTGTTGTCTTTAAAAAGTAATTTTAAACTCATATTATTTTTATGTAATATTACTCGTCTTTCATAAAGTTGCTGACAATTCACCTGGCGGAGAAGAGAGACGAGGTCGACTGCCTGTCAGCCTGGGTCAGCATCAGGGACGCTGCGCTGCACTCTCCTCACGACCCAACCTCCTATGATATTAAAAGTGAGACGCCATCTTTGGTCTTATTTCTTACGCCAAACGTGTGATGCAAACTTTGGTGCCTTTCATTTACAGGAAAACAATAGTAATTTAAGATCATCTTCCTTGCGTCAGACGTGCGACGCTATTATATGGATCCCTGCATTGCCAGGAAGAGGAAATTATCCTTTCCTGACCGGTGAAGGTTCATAACAGGATATTGTAGAATTTGTCTTCTTCTATAGGCTGTAGTTATCTGATAATTGTTTCTCATTCGCTATAGCTGTCAGAATATCGTTGCTTATAATCAAGAAGTTACTGAGGATCGTTTGTTATTGACAGTTAATTACGGGGAGTTATTACTGAAGTCGTTATTCGAGCACTGGCCACGCACCTACTACCACGAGGACGACGATGAGGCTGGCAATGGTGGTGAGATGACACCTCACAACGGCACCTCACATCATCACAGCCCTCCTGGCAACCAGTACTTCTCCATACCTCCTCACACGCCGCTCATAATCAGGTCGGCCTTAAGCACGCCCTTCATAGTTTAGTACCTTTTCCTCACACGCTTCTAGCAGGGAAAATTCTAACTTTCTAAGCCTTTCTCACTAACCCCTCGCCTCGTTATGAAAGGATCTTCCTCTCACGCTCCTCATAGTGAGTCTTCTCTTCATCGATTCTACTCTTATCTTAATTACTTGTCTTATCATCCAATATTTTAAATTATGTCAGACAAAAAATTAGACCGAGTTTGTGCTTGTATAAAGCTTGTTTCTGATGTTGACAAGAAAAAAAACCATCGTTTGACGATGATAATATGCCTAATTAAAATAGTTCTATTGTGATATTAAAGCATAATTTTTTCTTTAGCGAGGTGCAGGGACGGACGCTGTACCGCCTGCTGTGCGGTGACGCTGGTGGGGAGACGGAGGGCGTGCTGCTGCAGGAGACCGTCCCGCCCTGGGTGCTCGATATCGTCCTCGACAAGACCACACCAAAGCCCAAGAATAAAGTTTACTTCTACCTGCTGCCACACCCGTCCTCTGGCATAAAGAGAGATAAAAAGTGAGTACTTCTACCTGCTGCCACACCCGTCCTCGGGCATAAAGAGAGATAAAAAGTGAGTACTTCTACCTGCTGCCACACCCGTCGTCGGGCATAAAGATAGAGAGATAAAAAGTGAGTACTTCTACCTGCTGCCACACCCGTCCTCGGGTATAAAGAGGGATAAAAAGTGAGTACTTCTACCTGCTGCCACACCGGTCCTCGGGTATAAAGAGGGATAAAAAGTGAGTACTTCTACCTGCTGCCACACCCGTTCTCTGGCATAAAGAGGGATTAAAATCGAGTTTTGAACTAGTCATCTGAACTGCAACTACGTTCTACCTGCAATTTGCATGGTCTGAAGTGAGTTTTGAAGTGAACTTGTTACCTGTCGTACTTTCTACCTACATTTTACGTGGCCAGAAGTGAGTTGGAGCTTTTTGTTGCTGCTTTATCCTCATGTCAAGGCTGCCTGATTTATGCATGAGTTTGAAGTTCAATTAATCACGTTTTTAACTCGTAATGTGACCTCGCGGGAGATGAAGTGACCGAAGCCATGTTTCAATTTTCATCTCATCCAGTCATCGAATAGATGAATAGAGCTACTAACATTTGTTTCTTAGCGTGTTGACAATAATGATAACGTGTTGACAATGATGACTCCATTTAAATACTTCATTAATTAATTGTCAAGCTTTGAGAGTTGATCTTTAATTTCCTCTTATTCTTTTCATAACGGGTACCATTTCGTCCAAAACTAAAGTTTTAGTCGATTTAAAGAAATAAACTTGATACATTTACGGAAAACTATCACAAGATCGTGCGGCTTAGTAAAAAAACGAAATGTTATCATCAGTTTTCAACTGACATTTACTTTACTTACGCCTCAAAACATAACACGCAATACACTTGTCATTTCTTTATTAATTCTCAACGCTGTTGATATATCTGTTATTGAGTCATGTTAAGTGGCACGTAAGTGCGCATGACGTCGATTATGTTAGCTCAGCTCTGGTGCAGACGATACTCTTGCACCGCCGTTGTGCCCAAGCGTCACTTGGTTCTGTAATTCTTATTCATTAATAATCACGACACCTTGAATATTAACTATTGTATAGTATAGTATAGTATCAGTATTATTGTATACCTACTGTATGAAATCCAGTGTTAAAATTAAAACCAGTGGTCGTTAATCTTACTAAATCTGTAATTTATAATCTATAATATATGTTGATGAGTCGTTTTTATCCAACTTTTATTGTACCGTGCGCTTCACCAAGTTATTGTTACATATGATCAGATGGAAGCTTCCGCGAGTTAACGAGTGTCGAGGAATACATCGTGTGTCATCGAATCTATTCAATAGTTTTCAAATCGCGATAGCATGTTATCGTTTTTTCCTATAGTTAAGTTCTGCTTGACTTCTTATTAACTCGGTTTCATAATTACTTCCACTTCCTGTGTTCATTATTGCGTCTTTGGTTACAACTATACTTAGCAAGCTTTGCCTTCCATTTTTGATTCAAATTATCATCATTAGCTACTTCATTTAGTTTCATTAAACCATCTGACTGTTGACCAATTTAAGGCATATTATATTATTGCATTAGTTTTTATTTTCCACTGTAATTACTTCAGTTGAGAAATCTAAATCTAATCTTACTTAATTTTTGCAGCACTGCATCACGCGAAATTAGATAATTTCTTTGTATATATTGGACGCCTTACACCCTGCACCTTGAATCTTCCTTTATTTTTGTTACAACCTTATTTTCCTCTATAGTTTAATTAACGCATTATTGGAGCCTGCATGCACATAATTTAATATTCTGCGTTTGTTCTTCACTTCTGCATCTCCGGATTTCTGGTCGGAGCTTTAGCTCTGCCTGCAACACGTTCATTTCAAGTTGTTTGCTCACCAAGCTGTAGTTATCTTCATGCTCTGTTCTTTGTTTTCAGTTCGAATTCGGTTAATTTATCGCAGTTAATTACCAAGAGGTGTGGGGAAACGGACGCTCCTATCCTAAACTTGAGGTAAGTAATTGCCCTGCCAGCCCTTGAACTGTGCCGGATTTGTCTTCATAATGTCGCAAGAAAGTGGCACTTTTTTCTAGCAGACATGCATTGCTTATTGATGTATACTCATTACACTCGATGCAAATAAGAAATTAGGTACCTTCTCAGTTAGCGTTTGCTTATTGTGACCTCAAGATTATTGTTAAGAGATCAAAGTAACTTATTATGCAATCACCTCCCTTCCTCTAATTATTCAATGCTTTACTGGCATTGTTACCGCACTCGCGACGTTGCGGTTCATTATTGTGACATGAATTGGGCCGGCGAGCGTCGTGCATACACGACCTCCAAGAACTGTTCGTAATATTTTGCTTGCGGCTCAAAGACTGTTTTTTACATTTATTCACAGTCACTGCAAGTCACAATGCAAAGCAATTGTCCATCCTTTGTCTTCGTGTTAGTCACGGAATATCTACACGTTAGTGACTTGACCTTAGTCGTCTAACATCTGTCGCAACTACCTCCTCCAAACCCGAATCTTTACGTTATCAGACCAAACTGTGCTTCATATTTATTATTGATACTTGTCTCTCAGCTCAACTAGTTGTTAGTCTTGCCTTGAATGTAGGCTAGGCATGTCGTGTTGCAAGTCGTCGAATGTACGGCCAGTGTCCTTTTTGGGTGTCCAATGCTCCTTTTCGGCTTAGGCTTATTTGTTTTATAGGACCGGCTACTCATGCCTCAAGTTTGTAGCGAATGTATTTGTAGAAAACATTTCAGGTCCCAGTTATCCTTTTCAATCTCGTTGCTCAAATTTTGAAGGTGAACCTGATTCTAATATGACCTCAAGGAATTTACACTCGGAAGTCTTTTTCAATTGGTATCATCAACCAGTCTTCATGCTGAAAAATATGTCCCTAGTGCGTCTACTTACAAGTATTTGTTCGTGCAGGGACCGTCTGAGCGCCAACGACTTCATTCAGGTTCGAAAAGTGCAGGAGCACGTGGCCGAGAAGGTCCTCAACTACGGCACCAATTCCAACTCCGACAACTCCTCGAATAACAACGCTAGTTCCAACACCCCGACCCCGACCCCTAACGCGTCTGGGGAAGATAAGGAGAACAGCTTACTGCCTGAGGATAGAGTTCAACTTCTCTGTAATGATAAGGTTAGAACTAATCTTTGATGTTAAAGGAAATCAAGAAAGCGAAATTTGTCTTTACTTATGGTGAAGTCAATGACTCCAGCCGCCTTTGCAGAATTCCTATAATCTTTTGTAGACCAAAAATATAATTTATACATCATCTGAATTGAAAGGAAAAGAGTTCTGGTTATGTTTGTCCTGTAGTGATACTTACAAAATCTTTTTCAACTTCTCGTTTTTATTTTAAAGTATCTAGATCATCATTATAATTCATAAATTTAGTCATTTTTGCATCGTATTTGACGACGAAATTCATGACTGCTTACCCGTAATAAAATTATCATCGGTATGCGTGAATTGCAAGATCTTGTATGTGGTGTGTTGATGTTGCTCGTGTGCAAGTTGTACAATTATGTTGCCATGTGCAGGTGCTGGACGGCAACATGGACCTACGGACGGTGCAACACTTCATATGGGGCAACGTCTCACAGGACTTGGTGTTGCACTACCGTCCGCTCAAGTGAAGAATAGCCAAACCTTATGTTAATGTACATTACGAGTGAGTGATAAAAAACCAATTGTTTCGGTCCTGTACATTTCTATTCAAAACGCACCTAAGGAGAACATTTCACGAGTTGAAAATTCGTTAACATATGTTAATGTCAATGATGAATGTGTAAGAAATGGCGCCTGCTCGTGGCTCTGGAAAGCCTTGTCAGTTCTGCCAGAACTTTCGTATGAATGCTACCGTATTGGTGGGGTTATATAGTGTACATAGAAGCGGGGTGCGGCTCAAGCGGGGTATGTTTAGCAGGAGTTGTGTAACTTTGATGCACTTCATATTATTTCCTAATCACCACTTCTGCATAATTAATGTTAATGCATCCATATACTTGTATACTGTACACGTGGGGCTGCGTCTGTTGCTCATGTTTCATATCAACAGAACGAAACGCAGTCCGAAGTAGCCGATGTTAGTCCCACGGGCGAAAAGCTTTCAAGTATTTAGTAGACTCTCATTAGCATGCATGAATGTGTTAATTATTTGCGTCGTGTTTGGTAACAAAAGTAATTACTTCTTACACAAAAGTAAATTTGTAATTTAAATTGAGATCGACTTGCCGGAAAGATTCCTTGTTGACTTGTTAAACAACTTTCGCGTATTATTTATTATGTGCAAATAAGATCTGTGTAGCCGTTCGCTGCTTTCGAGTTTAAATGAACCGTAGAAATTTTGTACTTACGATTTAATTTGGAAAATCTCATCCTGTATGGCCAGCGTTTATGTTTAGTATATGTTTGCAACTCGTGAAATTATTTAGTGTCTGTCTATTTAGCAAAATGTTTTAAAAAAGCGGCTAGATAATCGCCTTTATCCATAGGCCCATTGAATTGAATGCCGGTGAATTTCACACCCTAACATTTGTTCGGAAGGTTTCATCGCTGCCTTAGCTTGTATGGTTACAAAACTTATTGCCAATTCACCTTATTACAAAATGTTTCCTCTTCGAAGTATTTAATGTCTCATTTTTTGTGTATATGACGATTTATCCTAATATTCTATATATTACGAACTTGTCTCAATGACATAACACTGCACAGCTAATCAATAGGTTCAGTATAAAAAAATTCCCACTGTTTCTTAACTTACAGCCTACGTTGTTTCGGCGCAGGTATGATGGTTCATTCTTAGATCTTGTCTTTGTGTCATTCTCCTGTTGGTGGTATCTTACTTGGTCTGATATGCTTATTTGTTTTAAATTAATGATTTACTATGCATTATTTGACAGCTAGTTCCGTGTCATTCCTATTGGCTTAGATGGAGAAGTGAAGGCATCAAACATTAAATGATTCATAACCACTACTAAGGGCGGTATTTAATGCTATTTTAGTGCGAAGTGGTATTATTTATCAATTATTATTTATTATTTTGAAATTAGTCTTCCTAGATGTACAGCTTGCCTTATTTTCGAAATAAATTTTTCCGCAGAAGCGATCAAAGAAGTTATTGACTCAGAGCAAACTGTGTCATGGTGGAATATATATATTTTAAAACTATAGGAAATCGCTCTTATTTTTATTTATTCAACCAGTTAATGAAGAGTTCACCCTTTGCACATAACTCGGCTTATCACTGGGAATTACATACTTGGCCTTTGCCGTCGATCCTGCGGTGGTGTTTGTAGGGTTGATGAATCTTAATGAGATTTATCAAGAATTGGAAAACAAAGAAAACGCAAAGTAAATTCATATCATCATTTAAAATATGGATCTCGAAATTTATTATTCAATGAAGTTACGGTGAATTTTCTGCCATTTTCCTTGCTTTTCAATTCTTGCTGAACTTGCTATTGAAGCAGACGAATGATGTAAGCTTGAAGAAAATTGTGATACATCACGTGTGTATATAACAGATCTAGAATGTATATCATAATAAGGTTTGAGTGATGCGATGTATAAATAAGACATCGCCTGCCCAGTCACGCTACAGGTGTCGGAATAACACAGGGAATGTTTTACTGCATCTCTTCTTGTGTCGAATAACTTGCTATAATATTTCTACTGAAATGCATGAAGTAATGTAATGAACCATACGGGTGCTAACCCCATCTTGGCATGGCCTAACTTCTCGAACGTTTACATTGAGCAGTAATTTGTTGGAAGTGCACAGAAATTGTTTACAAAAAGTGTTGCTTAAGTTCCTGGTACATACTTGAGTGATGCTTGTCATTCAATCTCGTTTTGAGTGCTGAAACTGAACACTAATTCAGGCTCAAATCTCCGATGACTGGCGTGAGCTCTCAAGTTACCTGTTGATTCTTCCCTGTCATTTGTAATGTTTTTGCTCTCTGCATTGAAATCTAGGCTTGTGAAAACTTAGCGTTCGTGTTAAATAGTCCCGACTTTCCCACAAATCTGGCGCTGAAAGTTACATTAGGTCATTTTCAAAAATTTGATAATTCATGCAGAACAATTTCAGAAATCACATCCTCGTTTGGCTGAATAGAATTCACCGATGTTATCTTCTATGTCACAAAATACTTTTAAAACTTGCATTATTTTTTCTGCTTTGAACTCCTCAATAATTCTGCACGAAAATGAAGTGCAGCGTTGCACGACGCGTTCGGTGTTTTCCGTATTGAATTTGTGATGTCCTTGCCCCTTTTTTATTGCCTTGAAGTTACTGGAATGGGAAGGTAAAATAGTTTCCTATTTCATTAAATAGGAACCTAGTAATTGGTTCCCATTCCGTTGAATAGGAATATAAAACTGTCTCATGACCATTTATCCTGCTCTGATTTTAACGATGTATTTTTGCATTTCTGACGGTAACGCAAGATTATATTCCGGAGGAGCAACTTCTCAATTTATTTTTTTATAGACTTGCGCCTTTCTGTGTTTGCTTTCTGTTGCCATTAAATTTCGTGCATGACTTATCGCCAAAAAATCTGTGGAATTTATTTCCACTAAGACAGTATTTGCTTTACGAATCGGATAATATTGCAATTTTACCTGGTATATTCATTTATTTTCTCGCTATAGGCATTATTTTTTCGCAGGATCGTTCTTCTATGTAAGAAAAAAAAAATAGTAAGTTCTTATTCTGATTGTTCATTGCATTTGCTGTCAGATTCCCTCTTATCTTTTTGTTGTATTTTCGTTTCCTCGTGTGATGATATTATTATGCACTTCCCCAAGTTATGACATGTTCAATACCACATATTTAAGTCAGCAACATTATTAGTAGTCGGGCATTTAGATCTTCCTAACGAAGAATGTAATAACCTTATTACTTCACCTTCACTACTCTTTAGGGGCGACTTCTATTGCAGAAATAACCGAGCAATTTGTAAATGCGTGGACTTTTCCGTAGTAAAGTAATCTAGTACTTCGCGATCTTGATAAAATACGCGGCAAGTAGGGTAAGGTGGCTAGTTGCTTAACACGACTTGCCACTATTGACACTACTGCAGGGCACTGAGCTATGAACGACCTGCCACTAGTGGCACTACTGCACGACACTTAATCATGAACGAAATTTGAGGAAGGTCTCATGGAAGACGGTCGCAATGTAGTTAGTCGAGGGAGGGAGGAGCGTAGAGTTCTAGGTTGACTTGCCCCTTGTTGGTCACATTCTTTGAAATTTTTTGTTTTTATCCTGTTGATTTTTTTCAGTGTCAGTTCACCTGTTACGACTCCTAATTGTATAATTTTTTGCATTTGGTTATTCTGCACCCTTATATTTCTTGACTGCGTTTAAAGATATTTTATTTGATCTAAATGCTTTATTGTTCGTGTGTTGTACGGTCTTGTATGGACTAAGCGCCATATCCTTTAAAGAGCGACGAGTTCAAGTTGACTATCTGAATTCATCGTAAGTAAATGAGTTTTTTACAATCAGCTCTTTAATGAAATTTAAGTCCGTTGACCCTATGACCTTAGGAAAATTACGTCTTACAATGGTTAATCAACCTTTTGTCGATTTAATTTATGAACCCATTTCCTAGTGCTTCTAATTTTGAAGTTAATATTCGAAAATGCAAAGGTCTTTTATTTCGTTATCAAAATTGTTATATTTATTTTAATCGCCAATCTTCATTTCCCCTTATATTTAATTTGTTGTCTCGTCTGCCCGATTTATTGTTGAGATCTTCACGTCCGCTTCACTTTGTTATGTACATAAGAATTAATGTTTGTTGACGCCCAATGTATCACCTCTTGACGTGATTCAGCTTCTAATTCATACTAAACTCTACCATTTTTCTTGTAAATTTGACTTAAAACTTCGAAATTTCACAATAAGAAGGTTCATGGTGTAACATTTGGAGCTTAGATGCCTGTATGATCCAGTTATATTTGCTATAATTCGAAACATTTCGATCATTAATAAATATAATGTTCTACGAGTTATAAATCAAGTGGTATTTTGTTAATGTATTTTCTATGGAGAAAGGATTATTGAATTCAAGTCTGACTGTTTTGCAGCAATATTATTTTCTGAAAAGTTTGACCTTCGCTCCGTGCGTCACAACTTTTGAGAGCTGCAGCTATTAGCTTTTAGTTCCTGTGATTTTATTTGATTCCCTATTTTTATAACTTTATTATCAAGTCGTTCATTTGTATATGTCCTAGAAATTAATTTAGTATACCATACTTGCCAACCTCTCAGTTAGCAATCTTCCTTGTCGAGTTATAGTTTAACACGTTGACTACGATTGCTTCATCTTGTACTATTATTTCATTTTTTACTGTTTTTAAACAGGGTTGCCAGACGGTCATTTTTTTCCGGCCAAATTCCGTGGTTTAGTTTTTCTCAATTGCGTTGGCCGGCTAAAATTTTTGATAGGGGTACTTCCTAATTAAATTTTAAATACTGCAAAAATAAAATAAATGGAATTTTTGTAGCGGAACCTACATATGAACTAGTATATATCGAGTTATCGGCCTTTTTTGTTCTCGGATTTGGCCAATTTTTGGCAACCTTGATTATGTACCACTACGGCCTGGAGAAATACATTTCGTGGTACGCATATATCCCACTTCGTAGTCAACGTGTTAAGTCAGCAGTCAGTTTCTGTTCACCCGAAGCCTCGGTACTTCTGTAAATGTTAAATGTTTATTTAATTATTATTAAATTATTAGCGATATAAAATATTAGAGATGCGCTCGCCGTGTACCTCAGCTCATTCCAGACTATCCTGACTGATTCTTGTGCCGTCATAAGACTATCGCTTTATCTTATAAGTTCAGTTGAAATTTTTATAGTAGAAGTAGATCTTCTTATTTATCTTAAATTTTGAATGAGTATTGATTTAAAATTATATGTATGAGGACGATATGAAGTAGCTTGAGCCAAGAGAGTTTGAATGCGAGTTGCTGGTGCAGTAACTACCTTAAGTCTTATCATCGAGGAGGCTTCTTATTTGTAAGCATTTTACGGGCGTTCCATTACTTGCTAGTTATATAAATGAGCTATGTCAATCATAAATTTTCACATACCAACATAACAATTATTAGTGCATCAACTGGTATTGAAATAATTATTTCAGCTTACCTGCTTATATTTTGTACCGTTCCCGCTGAACTTGGATGTGTTTTCTCCGATAGCTCTATAACAGTTATAAATAGAACTGTTAACAGATTTTTTTGATGCCTCAAATTATCTAGAGCTGTCGAGCTCAAAGATCATTCACTGCCCGCAGTCATACCTTTACCCCGACTTCGTTCGTCAGCTTCTTCGTATTTCTGTGGTCATCTTCTGTATTTATAAGTAATTATAAAGTACATAGACTATTTCAAGCTACCTCTCTTTTATTCCTCCTCCTTGCCGCTCAAGTCTCATCAGGACAAGTTCGTCTCGATATCATTAGGGTGATCCCTTATTGGCAAGAGGGAATGGTCAAGGGCAGCCGAAAAATAGTGGAACCATCGTTGGAAAAATGCGTTATAAAACTGCAATAGCAAACAAGTCGGAATACAATTGGTCGTCATGCAGAGAACTTCGCGGCTTTTTATGTTCTCTTTAAATTCAATGGAATGAGGCACAATCAAGGTATTTTTAATCTTCAATTTAATAATATTTATAGGCAAATTTTCCTCCACTTCATTTGACTCTCTACTGGCTTGCAGAAACTAAACAGCATTATTTTATATCTTTTGTATTTCTATATCCCAGGCAGACAATGTTCAGTAACCGAAGAATGAAATTGGTTCTCGCCAAAACCGAATGAAAGACTCGGCCGGGGGCGGCACCATCTCAACGCAATCAGACCTGAATTGACCCGGAGGTCGTCCAAAATTTGTCGAACATTTCGCTATCTCGACGTCCCCGACAATTACTTTGTTCTGCTGCTTGATTTTGTTGTCATTTGGAGATTTTGGTTCTCTTGTTGTCATCGCTCGAGAAAGATGGCGCCCGAGCTGATGGTCACGTAAAGGCTTTGGAGAGAGCCTCATCACGAGCGTCGAGGCTGCAGAATGCCGATCGCCTTCCTGTCTTGTTCGAGGTTCTAAAATATCATCTTCGTGATATTGGATTACAAATTATTTTAGCAAACATCTGTACTTCCAGTAAGGCCAAACAGTAAAATTTGCCAAATTATTTCTTAGTACGTTCCTGGATTCAGAAAATTTTGTTCACATCCACCCTAATAATTTTAGAACATAATTTATTTTCACAACCTTGTAAAGGAACGAAGCTCAGTTTTTTCTACTCAAGGTGCTTTAGCTACCGTCTTTAGCTACGTATCGTTCGATGTCATTTTTATGTATGAACGGGTAACGTCATCAGTGAAAGACATCTCATCACTTGAAAGTATAGTCTAGTATTTATATCCATCAATATTAATTACTGTAAATTTATGCCGCAATGTGTCGTCCACTTGTTTATATAGTTTCTTGGAGGTAAATCTTTACAACTTAGGCTGTTTGGGACGCCCATTTTGAGTTAATTCAGATGAATCACTCGGGTTTCTTTCGGATTCGAATGTGCGGGTATCTCTTACTTGTTTGGAAATTGGAGAATGACTTTTCTTGTACTGAATCATCAATTTCACAAAATAGTTACTATTCAAAAGTGGAAAAACATCTTTCGGATACCAACAACTTGATGCTAGAAAAATAGGCACTGAGTTTGCAGTCAAACGGACCTACACATTACGGAAGTTGCTTGAAAATGTTTGCCGCTGCGCTGCATTTTTCCTAACAGTTAAAATTCATTTTTTACGCAGTTGGCACGACTGCGAGCGTTCTTCCTCACATGCAATATGCTGTTAACTAGGCGTGCAAAATTGTTTCTGTCAGTGTTTCAGTGAGTGATTCATAACTTCATTATTAACTGTGTATCATTCTAATGTGGCTTACATTACGACTTTTGAGCACAAGATCTATGATCCGCGCAAAAATACGGCACCGAACAAATCGAGATCGATCCAGGCTGCAGCGCTGCTCTAACCACATCATCTTTCTTTGGTGAGTACGTTGATCATTCTTTTAATTTTCTGAGTTGTTCTCTTTATATTTACATTTTTTAATTAAACATTTTTTAAACATAAGATGGCGTTAATGCCTAGCATTTTCATTGTCTTTTTTTAGCTTACTTATTCATCACAAGAATAACAATTAATTAATTCAATATATTGTAACTTCAGTTTCGATTCATGTCGTCGGGACATCGTCCGAGATAGATTGCTCCGCTGTTGGCTATGAAGATCCGTTGTTTTTATGTGCTCCGCGTTGCAATCCCCAGCTTTCCCAAATATGTCATCAAAGTAAGCTCAAAATAAATTGTCCCTGAAGCCTTCCGCGCAGAAAATTATCTTCCTGTCTCCATCGAGAACTTTTCTTCTCTTTCGAACATCGGAAACCGAGTTAAAGAAAACGGAAAATTAGCGCCTGAGACCTGGGATTGACGATCCTCTTTTGGCGGCCTCGTTGGGAGCTGAGATTTGAACGAATTTGGCAACGACGTGAGTTTCGTTCAAATTTCCTGATAAAAGTTATCTGATTAATTCATTTGTTAAGAAATGAGAGTCTTCCGCTGTGCTGAACTTGGTTTTATTATTAAGCCTTGCGCTACGTCTGATGAGGTCAAAAGAATAAAACTAGTTCCTCTCTCTGCTCAAATTACGAGACGGATCATTAAAATGCATAGAAATTTCTTCGATAAAATCTGATCTGCAGGTGTATTTTATCACGAAATTAAAACGTATGGAATAAAGTTTCGAATTATATACCTAAACATTTAAAACGTGGACAGTAAAATTTAATACGTTGCATTTCTTGAAGCGGGGTAGTGGAAATGGCTTCTTTCTGTCTCACCTTGCAGTCTTATCAGTCTAGATGCTTACCAGAAAGCGTTTGATAACAAATAAACCAGCTATTTACTTTATAGTGGACGGTTTGCCTAATAAAAATCTAGTATCAAATCAAAGCAATCCGAGTATTATCCAAAAATTAATTGTTGAAGCGTTTGTTAAGTAAGGACACATTTCCACGATTCGTTCTAGTTTCAGGGCTCAGTATTTAGCTTGACCTCCCCTCCCCTCCGCAATGTGTTTACATCACCGGACCCATACAGCATACGGTGACCTTTTCAAGCGCTTACAAAATCAATACAAATTCGATCGACCATTGGAAGTCATAAGCGTGCCACTGAAAAACAATTATCATCGACCACAATCAGAACGCGGTCTGGTCGATAATATGTGGACCGTCATAACAGGATAGGCCGAAAATAGAGACTGTGCCCTCGATATCGTATAGCCCTCGCTGTGTCTTACGGCTGCTGATTCTGGTGTGCGATGCTCGACTGCATC